ATAAAAAATATGTATTTTAAAAAAAGGTGGGGGGGAGAAAGAATAAAAATTAAGACTTGCCCTGAGGTGGGCTTTAGGGACCCTGATCCAAGCCACATGTGATAGCACCTGGGCCTGTGGACTGGCTGCTTAGCACCTGGCCCTCCATTGTGGGAGAAAAGGGGGGAGGGTTTTATTACTAAAATGTGCTAATGTTCTAAAAACTGTCATTGTAATTATATATGAACATTTGTGCAGCCATATATGTTTATTACATATGCAGACTGCTTCCTCCTACAGAATGGTTTCGCCATTCTGTTCCCATGAGCAGGAGGAAGCAGAACTGGAAGTTGTGTTATCAGTATAATGTAAGGCAGTTGACAGGGCAGCAAATGTCAGACCTCAAGTGACCTCTCACTGCTGACCCCAAGGCTCAGACAAAGTAAGCCAAGCGAAAAAAATATTTTATAAGCCACCCTGCATAAGGACCCAAAGTTTAGATTTTTGCATAAGTCTGTTCATAACTTGAATCATAACATGGACCGGACATGGACTGAAATGCTCAAGTGCAGGTGCCAACAAGTTTTAAGAAACTGTACCTGGGGAGCCAATAGGATTCTAGGCCACGGCTGAATATGAGGCCTTGAATCAGTTCAAGTATATATTGAGCTCCTCGCCAAAGTTAACCCCACACTCTGTCATTTAACCATCAAATGCCACCAAAAACTTAAGAAAGAACAATGTAACTGGGAAGGAAGCCTTACAGGGTTATTCACAAAGGGTGAAGAGTTTGGAGAAGACAGGAGAAGTGAACAATCTAGGACAACATTGCTGATTTTGAAAAATTCTCCAATTCGGTTCACTTTCTAGTTCAGCTATGTTGTCCTAGATTGTTCACTTCTCCTGCCTTCTCCAAACTCTTCACCCTTTTGTGAATAACCCTGTTAGAGAAATTGGGTGAGATCAATAAGTGTGTGTATGCTTTGTATGCAGGCTGCAGGATGGCATACTCACCAGACTCCGCCACTTCGGAAATCGGCACTCCTTGCTCTTGTGCCATAAAACCAAGAATGGAGAAGATGGCAAAACCCGCCACAAAACTGGTGCCGCTATTGAGGAAACAAAGAGCGATGCAGTCCCTGTCACAAGAAAAAAAAAATGGAACTGATAAAACTGCTACAATGCAACAAAGCAATAAGCATATCTCTGTTATCTATTCATATGCAGACAGTAGAGGCCAGGCAAGTTAGACCAATGTTTCCAGGCCACATGTGGCCCTATAGCTCCTTCCATGTCGTCAACAGCTGGAGACGCTGCCACATTATAAATAAGTATCAACCGAGAACGTACTGTGCTTGTAAGTAGAAACAGAATTCCTACCTTTCCTGCCACCTACACCACTGGAAGGCATCTCATTGCTGAGGAATCATCTTTCTTTCATTTTCAAATCTTTACTATACAAATTGAGGAGAGTGGCAAATGCTCCAGATTTTGTTGGATGTTGGATGAATAGACCTTGCTCACAGTCTCCACTCTAATTCATCCCAAAGGTGTTCTATCGGGTTGAGGTCAGGACTCTGTGCAGGCCAGTCAAGTTCCTCCACCCCAAACTCGCTCATCCATGTCTTTATGGACCTTGCTTTGTGCACTGGCGCGCAGTGATGTTGGAACAGGAAGGGGCCATCCCCAAACTGTTGCCACAAAGTTGGGAGCATGAAATTGTCCAAAATGTCTTGGTATGCTGATGCCTTAAGAGTTCCCTTCACTGGAACTAAGGGGCCAAGCCCAACCCCTGAGAAACAACCCCACCCCATAATCCCCCCCTCCACCAAACTTTACACTTGGCACAATGCAGTCAGGCAAATATTGTTCTCCTGCCAACCGCCAAACCCAGACACGTCCATCAGATTGCCAGACAGAGAAGCGTGATTGGTCACTCCAGAGAACACGTCTCCATTTCTCTAGAGTCCAGTGGCGGCGTGCTTTACACCATTGCATCCCACGCTTTGCATTGCACTTGGTGAAGTAAGGCTTGGATGCAGCTGCCCGGCTATGGAAACCCATTCCATGAAGCTCTCTACACACTGTTGTTGTGCCAATCTGAAGGCCACACAAAGTTTGTAGGTCTGTAGCTATTGACTCTGCAGACAGTTGGCGACTTCTGCGCACTGTGCCTTTCAGCATGCACTGACCCCGCTCTGTCATTTTACGTGGCCTACCACTTTGTGGCTAAGTTGCTGTTGTTCCCAGTTGCTTCCACTTTGTTATAATACCACTAACAGGTGACCGTGGAATATTTAGCAGCAAGGAAATTTCACGGATGGACTTATTGAACAGGTGGCAACCTATCACGGTACCACGCTTGTAGTCACTGAGCTCCTGAGAGCGACCCATTCTTTCCCAAATGTTTGTAGAAGCGTCTGCATGCCGAGGTGCTTGATTGTATACACCTGTGGTCATGGAGGTGATTGGAAAACCTGAATCCAATGCTTTGGAGGGGTGTCCCAATAATTTTGACAATATAGTGTAAATCTCCAAAGATGATTGAAGGATTTTAACACTTGGCTGAAGATTTCTTGAACAGTGACACTTAGCAAGGGAAAACCTGAACCTGCTTTAAGAGGTCACTTAGCAGGGAACAAGAAAAGTCGGCTGCTGGGCAAGAAAAAATATTCACAGGTAAATTGCCTGGCCCTCTCCTCCTGACATCATGGGGGAAACATGTGTGTCACACGCTGGTACCTGTAGCAGTTGTTGTTGTACTTGTTGTAGCTCCCCAGCGCAGTCAGACACCCCAGGCAGATGGCGTACGAGAAGAAGATTTGGGTCCCTGCGTCCATCCAGACCTGCCGAGGAGAGTCTAGTGAATGGCAAATAAAGGATCGGTTGGTAAAGGAGGCTGGGGGATCCCTGCGCCCCTAAAAACTGTATCAAAATGTCACCGGCACACCGAAGATCCTTTTGGAATCACCAAGTGCTCATTATATTGAACAAGTTGTCAGAATGGATACAAGTGCTTTCGGGCCTCGCAGGGGCCCTTCTTCAGGCTTTGTCAATGCTGAAGCCTGATGAAGGGACCATGCGAGGTCCCAAAAGCGCTTGTATCCAGTCTGACAACTTGTTCAATATAATGAGCACTTGGTGATTCCAAAAGAATCTTCGGTATGCCGGTGACATTTTTCACATTTATCTTATGTATACAGCGGTGCAATCCGCAGTCATCACGAGCACCCTTCCCATGACATGGGATTTCCGGAAGGAGAGCAACAAGAACCTTTCTATTTAAAATTTGTACCAGTCACACAAACAACATTAAGGGGTGACCCAGAATACCCACCTATACTGGCCCACCATCTGTGATAATGGTGGGCCAGTGCAAGCAGCCACTGGCTTTCTGCTGTGGTGGAATCAATGTGTCTATCCTAGCGAGAGTCACACAAAATTACTAAGCGGCATTTAAAGAAATTCTGTGTCCATAAAAAAAAAGCGTTTGGTTATGTGACCCAACACCAAGGGTCTCTGGCTGCTAGGAGCTTTGTGGATGTTTCGGGTCATTAGAGATTGCAGAGAGTTTATCACTTTCTTGCTAAAAAAGGTGTTGTAATACTTGCAGGTATTTATTAGCTCTCACAGAGATCACAGAACTCCCCCTGACAATGTATTCATCCGCTTTTCTATCCAGAAGTTGGGCACCATATTTGTTCAATCATCATCCAGGGACTTCATCCATGTCCTGGACTCAGATACCGGCTCAGAGGTTACGCAAATCCTGGTGCTTGTGCAGTTTATGGCTATGCTAACAAATGTGAGACACAGAACTGCCTCTGCTGCAGTGTCTCACCATATTACTTACAAAGTTGCAATGTTGCAGTCTGATCACTGGGGGAGAGGAGAATAAGAAAATGCTTTCTCCAGCCTGCAGCAGACTGATGACATCATTTCAGCCTAGGCAAGACTGACTGGAACTTAAAAGAGAACTATGGGGTAAGTGTTTTTTTCCATAGTTCTCTTTAGGGTCACGGGAGGACATATATTAACCTCCTCCTGTGACCCAAAGCTCAGTATATCGCGGGCTATTGCCGGCGATATACTGAGAGCGCCGCAGCCGGGACAGATACCGACAATACTGTTGAGATCCACCCAGCTGCGTGAGTGACAGCGGGGTCTGCCTATCTACAGCTGTGCCCGCCCCCTCCCCGTCCATTCCTCCACTCAGTGCTGGAGGATCGGAGAGGGCAGGGGGGAATCTCTGCAGGGAGCCGTGACTGACAGTCACCGCTCACTGCAGGGAGACGATCGGGAAGTGAATAGATCGGCAGTATGTTTCTGCTCGCTTCTCGATCAATAGAGCCAACCTGTGACAGCTTCTTTGTCACAGGCCGGCTCTAACTATGAGGATGAGTGGAAATCACTCTCCTCATAGTTCTCCTTTAATGACTGCTTTTAAATAATGCTGTACAGTATATTATACTGTATATGTCAGGGGTTTATTCATGGATCCATGTAGTGACTGAAAGCTCCACTTTAAGCCGATCATTTTCTCAAGTATATCAAAATAAAATAAATGCAATCAGTGCACAGTTATCTTTTAGAACCTTTTATTACATAAGCTGGCTTATGAAACCGAAGTTGTTTGCATGCCTCGAAGTTAGCCTGTGTGTTTTTGCAGCTTATTTCTTCCTAAGCACAGCTGAGTGTCACACAGAGCAGAACATCTGATAAAACTGGCAGAAGGAAACAGAGTCTGCCCCGGGCCTCTGCTCCTGGCATGGAGAATGTTTTCCAGTACAGACCCCATAAAGCCCAGCCGTCTGTGAACAGCACTATGTGACTGCGTGCTGTGATCAGACTCCGGGGCCCAGCAGGGCTCAGCACAGACGGGTCAACTGCTGCCCTGTGACCGGGGCCCGGAATGTGGCCCTGACCTTTCCTGCATTCCCCACACTTCTAATACCCCCCTAAAGGGGACCTATCTAATTAGGGCACTTTGTGTTTCTGGTTAAAAAAAAACGCCTGTGGATTTATAGTTACCAAATCCCAATAAGATATGAAAGGGAAAGCCATCTATGGCCTTGTGTTTTGATTGTGAAACATTTAGGTATATTTCGTGTAGGGTAATGATAATAGAAAAATCTAACATGGTTTGGCCAATCTAACTTTATTTGTTTTTTTTATACTGTTGTTTTATATCAGCTTTTTTACTATCTATATTCAAGCTTTGCTTTACAGATAAACCTTTAACACAGGACAAAGGATACCCAGAGCATGGTGGGTTATCTAAAGAAACAGCCCATCAAAGCAGTTTGCTTTGTAGGTCACTATGTGTGAATGAAGCCTCATACTGAGCTGTCTGATAAGTGAGGAGTCAGTGTTGTGATGACTTATTGAGCTCTGTAAACATAAACTTGCAGCAATAGGACAGGTAAAAAATGTGTAAGCCCGTACAACTCTTTAAGTCAATTATGTTGCCCTTGAAGTCTCTCTCCTCAGTGTACGAGACACCTTATGAGGAACTGTTGAATTTTCTTCACTCCAATGGAGACAGGTGTCCCTCAATGTAGAGTAAACAGAAACAGGAACCATACCGCACTGCTTACTGGGATTCCCACTTGATGAGGATGGGTGCTCGAAATGACTGCGGATGGCACCGCCACACATGAACAATAGAAAAATTTCACCAGCACACCATAAGTTGAAAAAGCAAAATATTTTATTGCCAATAGCTGTATCTCATTGGCAAGCACTTCGGGGTCTCTAAGCCTGATGAAGGAGACCCTGCAAGGCCCCGAACATGCTTGCCAATGAGATACAGCTATTGGCAATAAAATATTATGCTTTTTCAACTTATGGTGTGCTGGTGACATTTTTCTATTCCTCAATGTAGAGTGACACCATGCATTTTGATAACCCGTCCTGGCCATCCCCCAGTCCACCCTCATGCCCCTTGATTCCTGTGTTGTGACATATCCCTATCTTTCTTGCTTCTTCCTTCTTCTTCATCTCTGTCCTAGTCTTCTCCTCTACTTCTATTTCTATCTCCTTTCCTTTCACAATGCTCCTGTTCCCGATAAGACATGAACCCCTAAATGTGCATATCATAATTGTTGGCACATTCTCCTAATTACCATTTGCTTATTTAGGCCTGCTCACTACCTATAATTTATGCGGATGTTTACATGTTTGTGTTGTTTGACATACTAAAAATTCCAATTAATAAACTGTTATGAAACCAAAAAATGTGTATGCCCGGAGCAGGGCTTTAGGTTAAATAAAAATAATATGAAAATACATTTTATAGTCTTTAGTCTGTAGGTACCTGAGGGTCCTTGAGCCGACCGAGGTCTGGGTATAGGTAGAACTGGATACCCTCCAGGGCCCCCGGAAGTGACACCCCGCGTATAAGTAGGACAACGAGCATCAGGTAAGGGAAGGTGGCCGTGAAATACACAACCTAGGCAAACAGTGACAGCAATATAAGAGCCCCAGAGGTGATAAGAGAACATATACTGTATGAAACAACATGCACCTTATAGGACAAGATGGAAGACAACTTTAAAGGGTAAGTTCACTTTCTCATAAATTGGAAAAAAAGTAACTAACCCACAGCACCCCGACACTTCCCCAAGCCCCAGCTGCACCTACACATCTAAAGCCCCTGCCAGCCGGTCTGTATACTGTGACTTCCCAGCCCTGCACTATGGAATGCTCATACCACTCGCAAAAAGCAAGCGTTTATTGATCAGCATGGCCATGTGACAAGTGCTTCTTACTTCCAAGAACTGGTCCCTGGCTCAGAAGTGATCCTCATCGGTTAGCCTGGTCATCTGACTGTGCTGACCAATGAAAACTCACCATTTGTAAGCATTATGAGCACTCCATAGTGCAGGGCTGGGAAGTCCGGGGTATGTTGTTTGGACCACTACACGAGCTGGCTGGGACTTCAGATATGTAGGTGCAGCGCGGACCGGGGAAGCGGCGAGTGCTATGGGTACGTTCATTTTTCCACAATTTGTGAAATTTGTGCCATTGTGACATGGCCCTTAAGTGTTACTGTAGGGTGAAGCTGGAGACAATACTCACCTTTCCTGTGGATTTCACCCCTTTCCAGATACAGAAGTAGCAGATGATCCAGGCGAGGAGGAGACACAGCGCCAGTTCCCAGCGTAGACCGCCGATGTGTTCAATACCACCTGATATATTCAATACACGCCTCCTATAGACACAAGAGGGATCAGTGAGGAAAGCCGAAACATAACCAGAGACATGAATGAATAGTTATGCAAAGAATGCAGTGGGTATCAGTAAAAACTTTAAGGTACAAGGCTTACATTCTATAAATAAATTCAACTCCATAAAGTGCTGTAAATATTGGCTAAGCCTTCACAAATATTGGCCAACACGTTTTAGAAATAAAACCCCCCGACCAGTGTTTAAAATAAATAAGCAGACTTCAATACTCGGCCGCCTTTCTGGTGCTTCCTCCTCAGCCATTCTTTTAGGTCACTAGATGTCCATGGTCTTCCAGGTTGAAGAACTCCCAGCATTATTCAACCAAGAAGACTGAGGACATGCTGTGAGTGCAGGGTGTCATAGACCCGCCTCTTGTAATGATGTAGAGAGAAGCACTGGTGACATCAGATCAGTGCCACTCTCTACAATATTGAGGACCTGGGAGAAGATCCTAAGAGGAAGAGGACCCTGCGTGTCCTGAAGACATCTGGAAAAGTTATGCATTTTTTGTATATACACAGTAGGAAATGGTTGGAACCCCTGCCAGTTTTCTTTTTTGTTGTTTGCCTCATTGGAGGACATATGACTTAACTTCCTGTTACAGAACCACAACAGGAAATGAAAGGCAATCTCCCCAAAATGAGGGAAAATCCCCATGCCGCCATGTGCCCCCATTGGAAGATTTTCCCCTCACCACATGTACCAGTGGCCACTACCATCTTTTGGATTTCCCATAAGTTTCTATGGTGGTGACAATGGTCATCAAGGAGCAATCTACCCAGAGGCAACACACTGCAATAACAATGTGACAGGGGTTCAGCCATATGATGCATACAAATCCATAAACAGAGGTGACCGATAGTGAAGACTGTATAACAAGCCAAACACAGATCTACAGATATAAAGAGATGACGTTTTAAGCAAATCTTGACGTGTTCCTGCCTCCGCCCACATCCTGCACCCCCATGTTGGCCAAGAGGCCATACAATATTTTTAAGAACCAATAGAGAGTATCAAGAGGCGGAGTTGGGAGACGTCATGCATGCGTTTTAGGGAAGAAGTGGAAATCTGCATATAAATTCAGTTGCCTGAATCTCTGGCTCTACTGATGGTTTTGATATGCCTAAAAATTGACTAAACCCACAACACTGGTGTCATACAGCGTTTTCTAAAGGCAGAGAATAGCAGTGACTTATTTTCTTTCAGACCCAAGCATTCTAAAGAAAATTCCACACGCCCATGTTTGAACAGAGCAGGCCTTCAGCTGTGTGAGTAATCTGAGCCTAACTGAACAGTACACAGTAACTTATTTTGGTAAGCGGTATCGTAGATAGCGTCAGTGCACTTACTCCCAGAACTCAATGACGCTTGATGTTCCGTTTAATGTCATGTTCTGTGTGCTGTTACTCTTGTAAAAATCCAGGCAGTTTTCTAGGAAAAGAGAGAACACATGAGAAGATGGGTGGAAAGGTGAGAAAACAGGAATATGTTTTATCTCAATACAGACAAACTAATTACAGTATTGTGTGCACTACCGGCATGAAATTATGTAATTGTGGTACCATGGAGGAGATATTTCAGGTACAGGGGGAGTCTGGTGATCTAAGTCACTGGCTTCTTATATCTTTTGGGAACTCGAGCAGTGAGCTCTCCGGGCCATAATTTCTGGCTCTGTTCCTGCCAATCTGGGAGTTTCTCACCCCCACCCCCTCCTTGGCCTCCTCCCGTGTCATTTTTCAAAATATAATATAATCTAAGAGTCCAGCAGGAAGGATACTACTAAAGGTGCACACCAGGGGTGCATAGCCAGGAACTCAGTGCGGTAATGTTACACATGTCTGCACACGTGTAACACAGCACATGTGCAGACATAAGAACTCAGCACAGGGATGGTGAGGCACCCATAATGAACACAGCAGATGTGCAGACCCAGAAGCTCAGTGCAAGGATGGTGGGCATAACAGGAGTGCAGACCAGGTACTCAGCAGAGGGATGGCGGAAACTCCTCATAATGGGCACAGTAGGTCTGCAGACCTGGGAACTCAGCACAGGGATGGTGGAAACATCTCATAATGGACACAGAAGGTGTGCAGACCCAGGAACTCAGTGCAGTGATCTCACTAACAGAGTCCCTGAGACAAATAATTAACTGTCAGGTGTTTTAGTCCATAGCAACCACCAAGACCAGTAGTATCCATTTTGGTCGGAACAGCCCTTTAAATTCCAATGTAGATGTGTTTACTATGTCTTACCTGTGTTCCAGGAGTGGTTGCAGGAAGCCCAGGGCAGATCGGAGGTGAAGGAGTTGAAGAGATAGAAGAAGGCCCAGGCCAGGACAACAATGTAATAAAAGTTCAGCAGAATGACAATGACTTGGGATGAGTATCCAATCCCTGGAGACAAAGATATATCACATTATGAGGACTAAAATTCCCTTACTGCGTACCACCTGATTTTTCCTAGAAATAGCTCTGCGTGTCATTAAAGAATCATGCTGGTGTCCAATTTATCCAGTGATCAAGCTTGCCACAGTCAGGAAGGAGCATTTCCTCAGTCTCCCCTTCTCCAGTGATCTGACGGCAACATTGTAACTTTGTAGCAAGTCACAAGGTTAGAGGCTCTTTAAATAGTTTCTTTTAAAAAGTCCTGTGGTGACACAAAGGTTGAAGGAAGGATCCACAGCGTGGTGGGGAATATATGCATTCAACATGCTGAAAAATCTTGCAGAGGCTACAGCCCTGGAACAGAGGGGAGGTAGGAGACATGTCCCGATACTGAGCTGAGTATTAAGGCTCTTCTATTGCAAGGGGTGACATTAGCATTTCCTAGAGATTAACAATGTCTCTTTAAAGAATGAACAATACCACCAAAATATTGTTTTTTTAAGCCCTCATTCACACAAACCAAGTAGGTGCGATTAGGAATTCCTGCGGCAAGAACTAGCGATTTCCTACAGCAGGAATCCCTAATCTGCCATTTACAAACGGGAGCTGTCACCCTGTCACATGTGTACAGGGATAATGGTTGATTCCCAACCTCATGTAATCGTATCATATGGTGTGCCAGTGTTCTGCCGCTTTCATATGCAGCTGCTGTCACCCGATCATTATCATTAACTTTAATGGGTGACAACTGCTGCTCGTGAAGGGAAGATTTGTAATTCTTGCGGCAGGAAATCGCATGTTCCTGCCGCAGGAATTCAGAATCACACCTACTTGGAAGGTGCGAAAAAAGGGCTTAATCTCACGATTCCATAAATATCCACATACTGTACATACATTTATATTTTTAACACCCGATAGGCAAAACTGGGATGAGATGCCTAAACAGGCTGTAAAGGTACACATAAGATAATTACCGCATCAATCTGACCAAGAACAGTGGTTGTAAGTGGTTGTAATCCATAGATTACCCCTAAGCAGATACTCCAATGACTGACCAATCTTGGAAAGAAGAAGCAATTGCATTAGTGTGCATGTTTATACCCTGTATAGACACCCCTAATACTATCCTTGGGAACAATGGCATATCCGGGGGAACAATGGCCATCCCAGCTGTCTGCATGTTTTTGACCCCATCGTTCTGGCAAACCAGCGTTTCTCAACCTTTTTTCAGCCACAGCACCGTTTAAAATTTGAAAAATTTCAACGTACCCTAGTCTAAATTTTAAAAACCGTAAATGTGAAAATAAAAATAAAATTATGTGTGGTCCCTCCAGAAGCCTTACCTGACCCTTGTCTGAGATAGGGGTTTGGTATGGATTTTAAGGGTGGACCCCACGCACAAACACAAAATAAAGTGTGCTTCCCCCATCAGATCAGGAGCCCCTCACATCAGGGTCCTTCTTTACATCAGAAGCCCCCATTCAAATTTGGAGTCCCCTTCACATCAGAAGTCCCCTTCACATGAAAGTCCCCCTCTTTCACATCAAAGTCCTCTGCTTTCACATCTAGAGCCCCCGCCTTCACATCAGGGTCATGACGCTATGTACAAATTTCGAGGCACACCTGAGCAAGCCAAAAGGTACACCAGGGTACCTCGTCACCCTAGTTGAGAAAGGCTGCATAAATAATCACGTATTGACCACCTTCTTGGGTAAAAAAAAAAAGAACGGAGACTGTTACAGAAAAAACTGGTGACATCTATGTGGCCCTTCATTATATAGACTGACCTTCGAAGAGGGGGCAGATTCTTCTCCAGGCAGTAACGCCCCCCTGGCTGGTGTATTGGCCCAGCGCTGTCTCTAGGAAGAAAACCGGAATCCCGCAGGTGAAGAGGAAGATCAGGTATGGGATGAAGAAGGCTCCTACATGGATACAAGACAAAACCGTGAGCTTCATGTGGCTCAGAACCCCACTGCATAGGTAGCGATACTTTAAAACAATTGGCAGGGACTAAAACCAGCCATACAATGGCAGATTTTCATATGAGTGTAGTTATGAAAAGTTTCATCAGAGAATTGGATAAGGCCATCAATGAATGTTGTTTGAAATTTCATTTGATTTTAATATACAATTTTAGAATGAATAGAGTTTCCCAAACAAAAGCCACATTCACTGTTAGGATGTTGTTTGTTCAAGAAAAACATTTCCATTGTGCACCTTTGATTTTTTTCATCACTACGGTCGAAAACGTTTGTCGGTTAACTAATAGCAACATTTACCAACCGAGCTTTAGCCTTTTAATTGATGCCTGTGGGGGAAAATCTTTCCAACAGGGACACAAACAAGAGCTGGGCTTTAGTGCCCCATTCTCATTTGCAAATGGGGCCGATCATATGAGTCCTATGCGATCAGCTACAGGCAGGAGGCACTGTACAATACAATGACAGCTGTCACCACCAGCAGCTGTTTGCAGGCCGTTCGCAAGTAATCACACATGGTGCTATGATTACCTGCACATAATCGCACCTGGATGCAGACTGTTATACCAAAGAAAAACTACTAGTATAGTATTATTATGATGAGGTTTTAGCTTGTTTACAAGTTTAATCTGTCATTATATATAGACATGATCTTGAAGAAATCCCCATTGGACAGCAGACCAAAATCTACCCATATATGAGGTGCTGAAACAACCAGGGGATGGTGCCATGGCGAAACCGAAGAAATATGTCGCCAGCACAAAAATCTTTTTTTGGAAATCCACCATTAAAAACGTATAATCAGCATGTCAAAAAGACATCCATATATACGCTTAAACCACCAATTAAAAACTACATTTACCTTTGGGACCATATTTCATGTTACACTCATATTCAGAGTATAACATGAAACATGGTCACATCGCAACACTCCCATCCTCAACTGCGACGAGGTCACCGCACTTGGAGTCCATTTATTCGTCCTCCCGTCCATGTTACTGAGGTATCGACATGGATGGGAGGGAAAGTCTGCAGGAACCAGATCTACTGATTGCAGTTGTAATTCTTTACTGGCTCCAATGCATGAAATGCATCATAATAATAAATGCAAATTTTTTCTTTTATGAAGGGTGCATTTATTATTATTTAGCAGAAAAAGTGGACTTTACCTTTAAAATGATAACTACAGTACATATTTCCTTCTATTGGCTACCTCCATCTATTGGATATAATGTATTATTTTTACACTACATTCAAACTGGGAAAAATATATTAAGAACATAAATTGTTGGCATTATTTGTCAAAAACAACCATTTACAGATATTTGTAGAGCAAAGGGCTCTGCTAATTGTTTATAAATAGACCGCTATAAGTCACCATTGAGCCATTTACTGAAAGACGTTTATTATATGACAGGGTCTCTTTAATGTTTTTGATTTGATTTTTACATGTTTGCCCCTTTGTTTTTGTTATTGTAAGTCATATGGAGATTTGTAAATGAGTAACCATTTACAAATCTCTATAAGTCACCATTGAGCCATTTTCATTTTTGTATTTTTGAAGTGCAGTTAACCTTTAAATCCAGGACATTTACAAAGTGAAGGATAAAACTATTGTCCTAAAATTGTAATACACTTAGAAAATGATAAGCTATTATTACTTGTTCACTTAAAGTCATTCAATATCCAATGTTTTGATGAGTCTTATGAAAGCTCAGACCATGTCTGACTAGACACAATCCTGAGTGACGGGGTCAAGTCCTGACGCTACAAAGGAGACTATATAAAACTGACTCAAAGAAAAGGCAAAATCTGCTTAATGTACAACATTCCATGTGTAGATCATGCTACATAAGGTCACGAGGCCTCAACTGACCGGCTTATTAACTGGGTTTGAAAACAGAGAGTTTAACCGCAACCAGAAATGATTAAAACCTCATTAGAGGTTGATTTATTTTTAAAGAAAACTTGTAGAAGAAATTTGTGGCATGCTGGTCGCGGACAAAAGCAAGACACAACCTAAAGCTGAACTCCGGGACAAAACATTTATTTTAGGAACAGCACATGTTAAGCATGTTATGCTTAATAGTAAGTATAGTAGGTGCGGATGACTGCTGCTTAGTATAAAAAGTATACCTTGCTACAAGATGGCTCTGTGACTCCATGGATTTAACCCGTGCTGTGCCTAAGATTGCTGCCCAGTGACCCCATGGATTTAACCCTTTCTTTGCCTAAGATTGCTGCCCTGTGACCCAATGTACTTAACCCTTTCTGTGCCTAAGATTGCTGCCCTGTGACCCCATGGACATAGCCCTTGCTGTGCCTAAGATTGCTGCCCTGTGACTCCATGGACATAGCCCTTGCTGTGCCTAAGATTGCTGCCCTGTGACCCCATGGACATAGCCCTTGCTGTGCCTAAAATTGCTGCCCTGTGACTCCATGGGCATAGCCCTTGCTGTTCCTAAGATTGCTGAGAGTGGAGTTGACCTGTGCTGTGTCCAAGATTGCTGTCTTGTGAACCTGGACTCTACCGTTGCCGTACCTTATTACTGTTTACCCCTTTGCTGTGCTCATATTGCTGCCCTGTGAATCTGGACTCCATCCCTGCTGTACCTTATCGTTGTGTATCCCTTAATAAAGAATCCCTTGGCCAAGGGTCCCAAAGACCACTCTCGATCTCCATGTGTGTTCTGTTCAACCCACCCCTCCATCACAGGCTGCTACCCAGTGATTATTATTTCTGGTGCTGCAGGGATAAAAAGCTCTGGCTGCAACAGTGAATGGATCCAGTCGCATTCTCATCCCCTTGTCTCTACTCGCCCATTCACACAAAGCCTTGTTTTTTCTTCTGTGAATGGAGGAGGGACAGGTATGACATGATCTGAATAAAACTACAAGTGGCTGCTAGTTCTCAATGGAACACAAAGTGCAGTGATATAATTGCACTTGTATTCCATACATTCTTTCTCCCTTCCCTCCTTCCTAACAGGTGCAATGCTCTGGCTCCTGCAGATTCTTCCTCCAGTCTCTGTCTGTACTGAGGTATGGACATTCAGTAACATGGATGGGAGGGAGAATCTGCAGGAGCCACAGCATTGCACCCATGCTCCAATGATTGCAGTTGCAATGCTTTACGGGCGCCAATGCAGAAAGATTGTCATTGTTCTATGCATGATGGGGTATTCGAGCGGAAATCGAATGACGGTTCGATGAGGGCACGAAAGAAGTCGGACGACAATCGATAGGTGTATGGCCAGCTTTACCCTCTTCACTGACACTGACTGAATAACATCCACAGACACAGCACAGTGGTTACACTCAGACTTTAGACTTGTCAGTAATTGCTCTGCTGGTCCAAACATTCCCTCCTCCTGAGATAATGCAGCCAATAGCATGGGGGGAGGAAACTGGTCAATCTCAGTCTTAATTCTGCTTCTTGGAAGAAGAAAGACCCGTTTCTTGGAACTTAAAGGTTTTCTTGCACTTGTGACCTAAATAAGGACTCGGACCTGGCACAGTGCCATATCTGTGCCCTCTATGTTGCAATAAAACTACTAATCCAGAGGGACACCTTTAAAAAATTTGAGTCAATATGGCAACCGTGGAACAACTTTATATGAACACCCGGAACTCACAGGATACAGAACGGAATAGCCATATGTTAATGTTACCTAATAAGCAATGGAAGGGATATATTACCACGATAGGATAGAATAGGAATATTCAGAGTTTTAAAAATTAAAGGTCAAGGCACTCTCAAGGGACCTATGATAGGAGTGCATGGGATGCCTAGCCTCTCCCCATCTTGAATACACATGTGACATGTACTGTATAGTTCGACTTTTTCTGCTGAGCTATCATTGTCACCAATTTAGTGTTACAAAATAAATTCTTAGAGAGTCCACCAACCATTTTGTTCTCCGACTGACCAATGACACTCATCAATTGTTTTCTTTCATTGACCAATAACATCGGGCATTTTTTTCTCTCTCTGACCAATAACTCCAGATATTCTTTCTCTCTCTGACCAATGATGTCACTGATTTTTTTTCTCCCACTGATTCCTAATACTGTGACATTTTCTCCGCTTCCATCTTGGGGCGCTATGTTACATAATCCTAACAGGTGCACTTTGCATGCTGTGATCTGACACTGTGGGGTTGATATATGGTATATGGCATTAGTGGAAATATGCTTTTAGAGACTTGCATGCCGCTATAAGAGCGGCGTGTATCCTATGGCGCATGCTACATGACGCGCACGTACGTAAATACATAAAAACGCGCCATAACGGCGTGAAAATGTGACACGTTGCTCGTGTTTGGTTGATAAATACGTTTTGCTGTGTAAAAATGCACACGCACATGGTGCGTGTGTGTGTTTAGGTTAGTAAATCACCCCCTGTGAGTGTAACGATCCCTACACAGATACCTACTATTGGCTCCATTGCACTCCCCTGAGTATGGACATCATCTAAATGGGGCTTGTATGGTAATCCTGTGTTTGGAAGCTCAGTTTTTGGCAGGTCAGTTGTCCCAAAGTTATCCCCAGTGTGCTAGGCACTAAGATTGTTAACCTGCAGGGGGGGGGGGCAGGGACTAAAAACATTTTTTTTTTTTAAGTGCTCTGTAAAGTGCCATGTAATATGTTGTCACTATATAAATAGGGGTAATATATAAAATGCTTCCAGTGGAAATTGAAGTTGATTTATTTTAATAGGGATCGTATGTATTTCATGGAACTGAAACAGTTAAAGAAAACATACAATGTAGATGACGGTTTAAAACAACCTGAATTATAAGTATGAGTGCTCTTTGGGTGGGATTCAACATGCATGGTTGGGTAGGGTGTTTACTTTTAAGAATATTGTTGTGTGAAGGGCACAGATTGATAATTTGTGGATTGTTAAACTGTAGGGGTTTAGGGTTTAGTTTATGTATACA